GGAGGTGTTGGATGCTCGGCAGGTTAAGAGTGGCTGTAGGCCAGGACAAATAATCACCGATGACGTTAGTTGACGGTAGAACTACACATATCACGAATTGGCAAGATGTTAGAATTCACAGAGAACAATCGGCATAAATGGGAGAAATCTGAAAGTACCAACCTCGTTCACCTACCTACCTACCCACCTGGGAAGTATCCTTTCAACTAAAGACGGACGAAACTGATGAGGATATCAAAGTACGGGGATCGGGAAAGCAAGGTAAGCATTCATTACTCTCAAGTCTGTGTGGGAATTAACCGTACTCAGCATGAAATATAAGATGCGGATTTTCAACTCCAATGTGAAGTCAGTATTACTATACGGATCAGAGACTTGGCGCTACGCCACTTCACGAAGGGCACTTCGAACAAACTACTGACTTTCATCAACAGCTAGCTGTCTTCACTCAATACCACTAAAGATCAGATAGCCGGCCAGAAAAGATCAGCAATGGAAATCTCTGGAAGTGAACGAACCAACCCAACCCAGCAGGAACCAATTGTGCAATAGATATGTATGGAGAAATGGAGGTGGATTGGCCTTACTCTTAGAAAACAAACCATCAAGTGAGTGACATCAAACGCCAGGCCATTGCTCGAGTGGAACCCGAAAGGGAAGCGGCGAGTTGGTCGTCAGTGCAAGGGTGACATGGAGTAGGTCAGGCGAAGAGGAAATGATAGCATGTGGGCAGACGTGCAGCCAGGTGAAGACTCTAGCAGAGGACCGAATGCAATGGAGACGCACGGCTGAAGCCCTATGTCCCTCTGGGAATTAAAGGAAACAATAATAATAATAATGGGTCACTGAATTCTGTCCTAATGGCTCAATGGTCTACGAATTCCGCTTGTAGACTGGATGTCCTGGGCTCGACCCTCTTAGGGGTCATGAGTGCCCACTACTGCAGAGTCCCAAACAAGGATGAGCAACAACAGAACTCTAGTACTCCCTGGTAGTTTCTAAGGGTTCTTTAACTGATATTAGTCAGTTCGTGATGAAGTCAGTTAAGTGCCTGCAAACTAATACTTGAAAATTACGTCTTCTTATTGTAGAGGCAATTATCCGTAGGGGCAAATAATTGCTTAAAACACTAACACCATTAAAATGCATCCATCCATCCATCTCAGTTATAAATCTGCTCCATTATTATTTTAGAGTATAATTCTGCGACCACGCACATTGCTCGGGGTTCAATTCCCCCGCCTGACACAAAACCTCGCCTAAATTAATAGCCTCTACGATGTTCGGAAAAAGAAGAAACCCTTGACGGCTACCAATATCAACCGGCAGAAACAGTTTAGAAACGTGAAGACGTATGACCAAATCAGAACACAAACTGCTAACTAGTTTCATTATATAGTAGAACTTTGCACAGAAGTGCAGCATCATTCCATGTTGCCACGCTCCATAAAGCACACACAGGTGGAAAATTGAGGGAGAAAGAATAGTAGTAACACGGAGAAGCATAAAGGTGAGAATATATATATATATATATATATATATATCTGAGCCATCACTTACAATGATCTTGAGCAGCCGTATCACCAACTGTCTCGAGCTTCCATTGGTTCTTAGAACCTCGGGAATGCCACCCACCCAACTAGGAAACCTACACCTGCACCCCCCGCCAAGTACGTGACTGACTCAAACTAATTGTCAAAGATGTCACGGACTGATACCAAGGTTTAGTTCGACCACCATGTTTAAACTCCTTTCCAACCGAATTCTATGTCAGTTAAAATTGCTCGTCAAGGAATACATGACACATGTCCTAGACATTTCAATCAATGTAGCTCCATTACCTCATTGGCTTACTATCCCCCTTTACCTACAACACTCGACAGAAAACTGAGAGAAGTCTTTGAAGTGACGAAAAGAGTAAGATAAGGCTGTCTGCGACTATCACCGACGGTATTCCTGATTGTGGTCGACTGGAGGATTATGCGGGATACTGTGCGGAGTGGGAAGACAGGAACACGTTGGACCACCGATAGGAAGACTCTAGGAGATCTACATTTCGTGGATGATTTATGTCTAATGTGACACAGACTCCAAGACTTACAGGCGGAAACCAACAAATTGACAGAAGGACCTGAAGTGAACATACATCTTTAATAATAATAACAATAATAGCTTTATTCTGAACAATGTTTATTTATGTAGAGAGTTTTCAGCGCAGTTTATTGTATGACACTTCTTCTTTGTCCAGGATCTTCAAATAAAAGAATAATTGACAGTAGATCGTGTAACCACAGTTCTGTCTAACCTAAAGAGCAAACCAATCCATCATTATGATAACCCTTCTTTGTCTCCTTCGAGAAATAAACAACGACACTTTCTTGAACGCCAATTATGAAAAGTTCAGGAGTACATTTTGTGAACCAAAGAAACCACTCAGGAACGGCCGTCTCATGTATTCGGATAAGCTGCTGACCATCATTATATTTCCTGACCTAAAGGCGGCATTCGATTCTGTCGACCGAGAGGTTCTCTGGCGATGCTTGGCTATAAAGGGAATGACGAGAAAATAAATTGCACTGATCAAGGCAGTCACTCTACTCGAACTCATGCAGCCAGCCAGGTGAGGGCTTACGGCGAGTTGTCATCTGAAGTGGTGACGACTAGTGGCGTCCGTCAAGGTTGCCCATTACCCCCATTTCTATTCAACTTCATCATAGACGTACTAATGGATTTAACCCTAACACACTTCAGAGACTCAGGGGTTGACTTGCTACCAGGGAATAATCTCGTTGACTATGAATATGCAGATGCTATTGTCCTTCTAGGCGATGACGCTGACAAAATGCAGAGTCTTCTGAACACCTTGAGCTGCAATCTACGAATGTTTGGCACGCGATTCGCTCCCGCAAAATGCAAGATGATGTTACAGGATTAGGCTACACCGACTCCTAGATTAGAAATAGGGAGTGAAGTGGTAGAGCACGTTGACCGCTTCACTTATTTGGGAAGTACCATCAGCCAACGCCTGCGCTCTATCTCCCGTGTGAAGTGGTATAATAAGGTGAGCAATATTGAGGTTAGGCTTCCGTCGAGTTAGTGCTAGGTAGGTGGGAGGGGAAATCAATCGACGAGGCTGTGAAATTACATCGACTGAGATGGTTAGGACATGTGTTACGCATGCATGCCTAGCCATCGCCTTCCTCGACGGACGGGCAATGTTAGCTGATATAGGGTCAGGCTGGAAAAGAGCTAGCGGCGGTCAAACCAAAACATGGCTTCACCAGTCAATGACATCTACAACAGTTAGTCTAGGCCACGTAGGGAGGTGAAGACTTCCTGGTTGGGGTCCTCGGGACTGTAAAAACCAAAGGTTGGAAACAATTGGTGACATGGCTCAAAATCGTTCTCAATGGCTGGTGCAGATGCATCCATTCCTTGTGACTTATGATTTCCAATAAAACTGTTTTTTTCTTCGTTATTACCATTCCTTTGTCTCACACCTCTGTTTAATGTCTCTGATATACATTTCACCTACTTTCTTCTCTTGGTTTGTGTGCTACATGGAGTGTGGCGACTTGAACTGCCGCACATATGTGCAAAGTTCTATGTCGAAATAAGACAGACATCGAGGATAATGCTTTTTCGTATGCTTCTAAGAAACTTGGCAGAATCAGAAGGTTGATAATGTCTTAAATACTCGTTAGAGTAAACAACCACTATTAGAGGTCATATTTTATCAGATTTAAACAAACTAAATCAAATGGAGGTTTTTGGGTAGTCCAAGTTTTAAGCAGGCCACTTTCATCCATTTGAAATCACTAGTGACTGACCCTATTCAGCTAGGTAGGTAGTTACCTGCGTTCTAGTGGGGAGTCAAGACCAATGGGATACAGCAGTTCGGATGTGACGACAAATACTCTTCACGGATGACATACGCCTGTACTGGTGCCATATCGTGAATTGGCAGAAGTTGGAATTCATGGACTGGCTGATCATTGGATCGGGTTCCAGTGGCTTAATGGTCTACGAACTCGCTAACCTTGTAATAACAAGGTCCTGGGTTCAAACTCTGGTGGTGGATGAGCACTGCAGAAGAGTCACAGACTAGACCGACGAAACAGCTGTCCAGTACTTCCAGTTGGTTTTCCAATGGTCATCTAACCAATGTCAGTTCATTATGGAATCCTGAAAATTTGAAATCAGTTTGTAAGTCTTCTGCACTCAGTTCGCGGAACAAAATTCAAGCCAGTGCTTCTATGTTCTTCGGAGACTTGGCAAATCACGAAAGGCATTTCCAACGGGCCACCACCTCAGACTTTTGTTAACAGCTTTCTTCTCTGGCTCTATACTGAAAAGAACAGGTAGTCGGAAAAGAACTGGCAACAAGAAACTCTTTTTTTTATTATTCCTTTTCGTCCCCAGTGGAGCATAGCGAGGGCTTCAAACTAGAGGCCTAAGGTTTCAGCAGTAGTGGTATTTATTATTTTTACGGAATGCAGTTGCTTGCCTCATACCCAACCTTCCCTCGTCGGCCGGGGATCGTAGACGGGACCACCAGCGCAGTCGGTAAGCATTCTACCACTGTGCCACGGACGCATTCACAAGAAACTCTTGGAACGAACTAACTAAGCAAGAACCAACCTAACGAAGAAAATGCAGCTGGATCAGACACACTCTTTACAGAGATCCCTGAGAGACATCACACACGCTAGGCAAGCCCTCAAGTAGAACTCGAATAGGAAACGACAAGTTAGGGCATCACTTCAAGGGTGATATGGAGGAGATTGTAAGCGGAGAGGGGATGACAGCCTTGGGGGAAATCGTGGGGTCAGCCTAAAGAGAGAAACTATAATATTAATACTAAGTAATGTTTAGCATACCACACCATCTAATACGCTAGATAGGATGACTGACTACGATCGGATAGACAGAAAACGAATAGAGAAAAGAAGAAAGCGAAATTCTTTCATCAGAATGTATTAGGAAATCATTAACACACTGGGCTATTTTATTATTACCGTTAATATTGTTATTAATAATAATAATTATTATTATTATCATCATCATATATTGAAATTGCATGAAGATAAATTGGCCTATTAATATTATTATTATTATTATTACTATTATTATTATTAATATTACATAATCATCACTTCAGGATTGTATTATATTGCATAAAAATAAACCAACTATATATAAAAAAAGAAAGAAAGAAATTACAAGTTAAACACAGTAACATATATACGCACGCGTGTGTATATGGATGTGTGTATGAGTGTGTGCGCACGCGCACCGAAGAAGTTCTTGATTATTCTATTCAACACACAAACACACACCGCACACCGCACCGACTGACGGACAGTCATTTAGCTGCTCTTTCTCCGTTTGCCTCTTTGCGTGCACACACACACTAAAGAATACAAAAGATGAAGACGGCAAGAGGGTGGTGGCGGGGGGGGGCGGCGCGTTAGGGGGTGGGGTGGATAAAATAGTACCTAATCAGAAAATGAGGACGTGTGCGTGTGTTTGGGCGGGGGTGGGTGGGGAAGTATACATAATGGCGCACAAATTAGAATAAGATAAAAAGAAAAGAGCCGGAAAAAGACCAGGGATCGTACACACTGAAGGAGGCAGGCGAAGAAGCAGCCCCGGTAGCAGTAGTATTATTAGTCGTGGTGGTGGTGGTAATAGTAGGAAGAGGGGGGGGGCAACAAGGAGGCAAGGCAACAAACAGTAGAGGACAAAGCGCACATGAGAGTTTATTTACACGTGAATGAAGGAAATCAGTGGGGCAATTAAGTAGGCAAGTAAATAAGTAAGTAAGCAGGTAGGCAAGCAAGCAAGCAAGGAGTGTGGAGTAAATACACTTTAGACATAATTATTAATTAACAAACAGCATATGTTGTATATATAATATTTGTCAGCAGTATATGACAGTTTCGTCGGAAAATAACAGGTGGAATAATAACAACACTGTGTAACGCTAAACATACGCTGAAAAAGAAAAGACAAAAATGCCAATACACGGATCAAAATATACACAATGAGTGAGTTTGATTTTTCCACTTTGAACAATTTATCCCAACCACCCGCACTCCCCACCTCGATCCATCATGATGAATATAATATCTGTGTATATTACGTAATGATGAGTACACCAGGACAGAACAAAGGATAGAGAATAACAATAAACACACAATATCATGAAATCAATATGATTTACGCAATACTAATTGCATTGCGCATAAGCAATCCTCATGATCAGCAGTAATAGTTGTCGGCGTAATCGTCGGCGTCGTTGTGAAGACAGTTCAAAACCGGCAGTTTTTTTGTATTATTCAAATAATGGAAAAAGAGAAAAAAGGAAAGTTGAATGACACGCAAGCACAGTCGATGGTGAGTCAGTGAGACGGATAATCACAGAATAACAAGTTCAAGCAGGCAGACAGACAGACAGACAAACAGACACCCACCTACTCTCGCCCTCAGACTCAAACACATACAAGGATCTTCTCTCTTCACACAGAGAGAATGGCGCTAACTGTTCCAACAAAGGCGCGAATAAACTGGACGGATGCGTAGGCGGGCGGGCGGGCAGGTAAAAAAGTAACTCTCTCCGACAAGGCAACGAAAATCAATAGAGAGATAGACAGACAGACAGACAAATGAAGATGATGTGATGTCGAGGAAAATAAAACGGGGCCAAAAAGATGCCCAGCAAAGAAAAAAACACACACACAGGCTGAAATCAATAAAATTTGATTAGTTTCGTCAGTTATTTAGTTAGTGATAATAGCAACAGCAGTAGGAGTATCGTGATGATGATGATGATGATGATGATGTGAAAATACAAACAAGAAAACAGAACCGGTGGAGCAGAAATAATGACCATATTAATATTATGAATAAATAAATCAATAAATCAATAAGTATATATTAAATAAATGAAAATATAAACCAGTTTTTTTAAATTGTAATTAGGTTGATTATATATTAATAATAGTAATAATAATATTAGTAATATTATCAGTGGCAATACTAGTGACGATTTGAGAGAAAAAAAAGAGAAGGCGATTTGAATGGAAACCCGCAAGAGACACAAACAGGAGAAGAAGAACAAAAAAAAGAGGAATTCCAAAATGATTACTTCCCAGCGCTGAATAAGTGATGTGAAATGACATTCTTGCCTTCCGACTAATCACCTAATCACCTTCAGGCTTACAAAATATATCAACAGTGGAACAGCCAATTATAGTATTACCTCTAGCAGCACTAATAATCGATGATGAGGCATGAATACCAGTCGTAGTAGCAGTAGACGAAGAAGAAGGAGTAGTAGTAGTGGTACTACTGCAGGATGTCACTGCCTTAGAACACTTTTCATGATTATTATTATTATACGAAGGATTCAGAAGTGTTGATGATCGACAGTAATTCACATCTTCATCAGATGATGTAGACATTGGAAGATGGATAGGCAACGGCGACGGTGGCGGCGGCTGCGGTGATGTAGGAATAGGCGCAGAAAGTAGACTACCAGACGCGGCAGCAGCAGAGGGTAACGCTGGTAGTGGTGGCGGCGGTTGTGGAGATGATGAAGGTGATATTTTCGCTGGTTTAAAAGTATCCTGAAGAAGTAAAAGATTCGATTTCAGTGTAGCCGCTGTAGAAGACGAAGACGAAGGATTTTCAACTAACGGATAAACTGAATTTTTATATACGGATGACCAATTATTATTTTTATTCAATGATTCACAAGACGATAGCATATTATTCTTGCTAAATGAATTTCTTTTAAAGGATTTTTCAGGTCGACGACTACAAGAATGACCACCGTCACCGTTATTATCATCAAGTTGAACAGTTGTCATCGATGAGACTGTTGTACTTGTAGGAGTTGTAAGATCAGCGATACTATGCGAATTTCTTGACCTGTAAGCCAGTAAACGTTCATTGATAGCATCATGCCCAGTTGAATCATTATTATTATTCAAAGAGAGAGGGTGATGATGTAGCATATTAGGAGGATAGTTTGTCCATAGACTACTACTACCCGGATCACCGCTTAGCATATTCAAGCAGCTGACCACCACCTCACCATTAGATGATGATGGTAATGATGTTGGGAATTGATTTATAGGACAATAATGCGGTAAATTTGTCTGTGTTGTCACGGTTGAGTTAACTGCTGCCGCCGCTGCTGCCGTTATTGCTACAGTCGGTGTTGTAGTCTTCGACGAGTTGGCGACAATATTTGGTGATGATGATGATACAGGAGAGATAGGCAATAGATTATTGTCTTCTTCATATTCAGCATCTGTTAAGAAACGAATACACTTTTTCTTTCGTCTAAAACAAACATGAAGAAGAAGCAGTTTATTAGTTTTTAAAATTAGAATTAAAAAGTGTACAGAGTTAGGATGTGTATAGCACTAGGGCATTAATGAGTGAAACAGGATCTATTTATTGGTTACAGGATTTCATCATGAGCTGACATTGGTTAGAGAACCATTGGAAAACCAGCTGGGAGTACTGCCAAACAGCTGTTTCATCGGCCAAGTTTGGGACAGGGCTCGAACCAAGGACTTTGTGGTTACAAGGCTAGCGAGCTCGTAGACCAATAAGCCATTGGCCAGTCCATGAATTCTAACTTCCGGATGACAAGGTTTCGAACACAATCTATATCATATTTTTTTACCTTCCTTCGAGTTTTCAGTGGAACATACGGCTTCAAGCTAGAGGCTTGAAGTTTCGGTAGCAGTGGTGTTTATTTTTACAGGATGAGGTTTGCTAGCCTCATGCTCGATCTTTACTCTTTACCAGGCTAAAACTACCCGGTTAACAGAGGTTTTTGAAGTGCGTCGGGTGGGAATGGAACTCCGGACTAGATTCATGGTTGACAAGCGTTCTAACTCTGGGCAATCGACGTACTTTATAATCATATCATCAATTATAATCATACGACTTCGAAACTTGAGTTTTATAGTTTTCTTTATTCTCTCCTGTTTGTCGTCATAGGGGTAGTAGAATTTTCCAGATGTTTGAGTGGAGAGGTGTTGAATCATCTCTGTTACACGTATTCGGCTCAGTTGACTCGATAAATAAAGCTTCCGTTATCAATCTCTCCCTTCACTCTGTTACATTAAAATTTTAGAACTGTCATCCTGTCCCAGCCTATTGTATGGTTGAGTGTGTTTAAGTGCATGTAGTGATATAGCTACAGGACTGGACAACATTAACCCCTATCTTAAACTATAGGGAGCGAGTGAAGTGGTAGAGCGTGTTGACCACTTCACTTATTTAAGGGGGAAGTTGCATTAGCCAGTCCCAACGGGTTGATCACTGACAATACCTCAGCACGGATACATAAGGCGAGTTTGGCATACGTCTGCCAAATTACGCCATCTATGGCTTAGTAGACGTGATATCCTGCTGTGTCAATCAATTCTCTCTGTCCTCCTTTATGGCTGGCTGTGAGACATGGCCGTTGAAAGTGGGAGACAGGGAAAGACCAGTTAGCTGTCTTTCATCATAGGTGTCTGCGTTTTGTCTCCCATGTTAAGTGGTGGTATAATAAGGTGAGTAATATTGAGATGAGACAACAGTCAAGTGCTAGATAAGGAGGGGAAATCCAATAAACGAGGCTGCGAAGTTACATAGATTGAGATGGTAAGAACATGTGTTACGCATGCATCTTTAGCCATCACCTTCTTCGACGGACGGGCAGTGTTAGGTCACATAGGATCAAGTCAGGAAAAAGCCAGTGGTGGTCAAACCAAGACAAGGTTTCACCAGTCAATGGGATCCATATCAGTTAGTTTCAGTGTGCCACACAGGGAGGTGTAGACTTCCCGCCTACCTGGTCGGTCCTCGGGACAGCGAAAACCAATGGAGGCTGGAGACAATTGGTGAAATGGCTCAAAATCGTTCTCGGTGATGGCTGGCGCAGATGCATTCACTCTTTGTGATTTATAATATCCAATAGAACTATATTGTTCTTTCATATTACTATTCTTTCTACCTCACTCACACTTCTCTTTACTATCTCTCTCTTTACCTAATCTCTTCTCTTGCTTTGTGTGTGCTACATGGAGGGAGTGTGGCAACTCGAACTGCTGCACATGTGTGAAAACTAGTCAGCCATGGCATTTATTTCAGCATTTCCTTGGAAGTTGTGTGTGTGAACAAATCGAGGAAATGGAACATTGTGTGTCAGGTCCAACTTTCTTTCCTCACCTCCTCCCCACCAACATATGTGAGATTTAAAAGTTGGATAGAGAAGAAGAAAAACTCATGGAAATGACACCAAAAGTTATTTTAAGTCTGAAAAAAAATTCTACAATGGCTTCAGGTGTTATTATCGTGAAAACGAAAAAGTGTGATTTACAGTCTAGCCGCCGCCATAGACCATTCATATGTATATATAGCAAGCATACTACATCGTCGGAGGGAATTTGTAACCACAGGATTCTTTCATTCATTCATTTGGTGTGTGCGTGTGTGTGTTGGGAGGGGGGAGGATGGCGAACAAGTTTAACACTATTTTACACCGTATATCATATCATGTATGATTAATGATCACAAAAGGATATTCGGGAAATATATCCCTATATATATCTATATATATATATGATTAAAACCGCATACATTACTCCTTAAAATCTGTCGAGACATAAAGAAGCAAGGCGATTATATCAAATGATAATAATAATAATTATATGACATACAAAACCAAAGAATATTCTTAGTACACAGATATTTACACATTTGCGGCTGCTAGAGCGGCGACCCGAGTGTTGTGGAGTATGCCTTCTTTATACAGTATCACAGTAGTAAGACAATAAACATAGAGAGACAGCAAAAGAGAGATAAGAGCCACACTTATTATTAATATTATAATTATTATTACTATCAATACAGAAAGATTAAAGACTGTGTCAAAATGTGATAAAAGATGTGTAAAGATATATATAATAGAACATGCGCGGTGTATACCGACCGGCTTACCAGCTTAGATTATGAATGTCTATTCATGAAAGACATACACAACGCACAACGAGAAAGAGAGATGAAGAAGAAGTGAGGAGAACGTAAGCCCATCCGGCCTAGGAATTAAGAGGAGTTGAGAGACGACTATATATATAGGTGGTGGTGAGGAGAGAAGAGAACTGAACAAGGCATGAAAACTTATTCATCATGTGTGTATATCCACATAAATATTAGAATAAGCCGAAAATAAAGGGTAGCTGTGATAAGAAACCAGTCTTTCTTTCAGGAGGACGACAGTGCGGGTGTGTGTGGGGTGTTGGTGATGGTGGTGGTGCAATACAACGACTAAACAGACACCAAAATTTAAAACCACAGTAGTAGTGTTCACAATAAGACTGATTGATTACTCGTTGAAAAACGAAGAATATTCACATTTTCAAATAATTTCTTTATCATAATGCCAAAGGAGTTAGAGGTGATCAAATCAGAACCCCCTGTCAACAGTGTTTCTGTCAATTTGTTTGAGCCGGCGGCCTCACCTAAGGAGGTGAGGTGTATACTATCACCAATGATTGCAGATTATTGATGATATATGGTTAAGGATCATTCGAACCTAGATGGCCAAGGTAAGCACAGTGTCTGAGCAAACATCTTCTTTTGGATGCATACGTAGGTTTCTTAATGTAGATCAAAACAGTCAGCCTCAGCAATATCTAGTAGACGAACTCTTGAGTGAGGTAAAGTTAAGATTTGTTGGTATGCGGTAAATGACTTTGAAACCAGCCTTGTCTTCTGTATCCACAAGATCAGATGGAATAGCGTTATGAATGGACTTTGTTTGTCCCTTACTTAAAGAAACAGGATGGTGTTCGGAAATCTGACGATAAACATGCCTAATTGTATGGGCTATGCAACTTACTGGACAACCAGCTGTTTCGTCAGCCTAGTTTGAGACTCTTCAACAGTACGCACCCACCCCCACAGGTTCGAACTCAGGATCTTCTGGCTACAAGGCTAGTGAGCTTATAAACTATTAAGCCATTAGGATACAATCCAATTCTAACTTCTGCCAATTCATGACATAGCATGACCACTTCGCCATTTTTTCTTTGATGAGTTACTGCTTCACCTTCAACCTGCTGCAGCCTACTGGTCACGGGTTTCCACTAGAACCTACATGTAGCTACCTACCTGAATAGGGCCAGTCGCCAATGAGCATCTCATCGGTACTCAAGTATTATTGGTTTGTAGGGATTTGATTGATTGGTTACAGGATTTCATCATGAGCTGACATCAGTTAGAGAGAGAACCATTGGAAAACCACCATGGAGTACTGGACAACCAGCTGTTTCGTTAGCCTAGTTTGAGACGTTTGGCAGAAGTTAGAATTGGATCAGGTCACAGTGGCTTAATGGTCAATGAGCTCTCTGGCCTTGTAACCAGAAAGTCGTGGGTTGGAGCCCCGGTGGGTGTGTACTGATGAAGAATCTCAAGCTAGGCTGAGGAAACAGCTGGTTTTCCAATAGTTCTCTCTCTCTAACTGATGTCAGCTCATCGTGATGAAATCCTGCAACCAATAAAACGGGAAAAAAACAAACTGTCGTAAGGTAGTTCAAAGACACACCAACACACACACACATACAGAGCACACATAAACACATACACAACCACAGAAAATATCAGTTATTCACAGTTATCTGCACAGTGGAATACACTGCAATCATACAAACATAACAACTTCAAAATAATTAATAGTAATAATAATAATATAATTAGTTGATAAATACATATATCACAGAAAGAATGAAGATTTGGAAGAGTAATAATAATAATGATAGTAATAGTAATGATAATAATAATACCTTATATGACTGACTAGCTGACTGGCTGAGTGAGTGAATGAGAGACTTAACGTATTTCATCATTCACCGACAGACGATAAATGAGCAAGTGTGATTACCAGAGCCAGTAGTGACAGAGTAATCTCTCTCACACACACACACACACACACAAACACTGAGACTACAAACAACAAGCAATCATTTAGTGACTGTAGTAGTAGTAGTAGTAGTGGTAGTAGTCGTATTCAGTGGTATGCAGGTTATATGAGAATCAAAACATACCGAAATCTGATGTGTGAGACTCTATCATCATCATCAAAGCCAAAGTTTCATTTCATTACTATACACTTTAATTCTTTTAAATATTTCTATTAATCTCTCTCTCTCTCTACATACACACACACACAAACACATACACAATGAAAATAGTAAGACTGACAAATGATGAAATAATGATACTGCTGCATAGAGTATAACGATTTATCGAAGTGAGCCTAATAACAGACATACAGACACGCATCATCCAACATCTATTCCGTTTATTAAAAATAAAGTCTGGCGATTGTCACAACTGAAACTACTACTCTTTTATTTATTTACTTCATCACATAGAATTACACTAGTGAAATTACCAGGTGTTGATTTAATTTTTTTCAAAAAGATTTTTAACTGCTTTCGTCCTATTTCCAGACTCTTCAACTGGAAGTGAAACACACACACACACGCACACTTGACCTCATCATTTTTATACCGGGTAGAACCTAGGCCCCGGGGGGGGCGCCTTCGGATTACAATGGAAGTGAGAGGGTGGGGGGTGGAACCCGTTTGACTATTCACAAAAATAAAAAATCAACTCTAGTAACTCAATAATCAAGTGTTGGTTTGCAGTAAGGATTTGATTGATTGGTTACAGGATTTCAGCATGAGCTGATGTTGGTTAGAGAACCATTGGAAAAGCAGGTGAGAGTACTGGACAGCCAGCTGTTTCTGTTGTACGAGTTTGGGACTCTTCATCAGTACGCACCCACCACCAAGGTTCGAACCCAAACTAGGAAGAAACAGCTGTCCTGTCCAGTACTCCCTCCTGGTTTTCCAATGGTTCTCTAGCCAATGTCAGCTCATGATAAAATCCTGTAACCAATCAATCAAATCTGTACAAACCAATACTTGAATACCGATGGGATGCTCACTAGCGACTGGCCCTATTCAGATAGGTAGTTACCTGGGTTTCTAGTGAGAGGTCGTGACCAGTAGGGTGCATCAGGTCGAGTGTGACGACAAATATTCGCGCCGATGACAGTGGTTGACAGTGGGCCATCGAAATCTATCCCAGTGACTCAATGGTTGATGAGCTAGCCTCCTAACCTGAAGACCCATGAGGGTCCACTTCCCGATGGGGTGATGAATGAGTACTGATGAAGAATCGCAAATTAGGACGAAATAGGTGTCAATCACATTCTCTGGTCGATATCAATCTGCGATTAAACTTGAAACTTATCATCAAAATTCTACAAATTAACAGTTAAAAATTAATGTCATTCTCACTAGTGACAGATTACAGGATAACGAAGTTCGCATGGAGTTCTAATGAGAAGTCGTGACCAGTGAGGTTTGCCCATAAACTAGCAGAAGCTAGAATTCATCAGAAATCCGGTTCACTCCTAGTCGTTGTGAACGATCAGTGGGCTCCTCTCGTAACCAGGACCCAACCCTGGGGAAGTTATGGGTACATGTTTTTAGAGGACGAGACGACTCTACAGCTGAGACTGATGTCAGCTGCTGAGCTGACTTGAAACAATTTCAATTAGGAAATTAAAGACACGAAAGCAAACATTTATACCCCTGTTTTGTTGTTGATATATCCCGACCAAACAAGCAACTTCCATCCATCTATCGATCCATTCACACCCCCGGCTGACGAGTCTCAAAAAAAGAAGAAACATGAGTCTTGAATTCCACTGTCAGCCGACCCCAACCAAGCAAATAGCTCTCAGTTAGTAATGGCAATGCTAATATCGAGAAATTTGATGCCGACAGATAACCTAAAAATGTTCACAGGGATTATTGTTTCACGACCGGGTTTTCTTTCTGACTCCGCCAGGTGAAGTCTCCATGTTAGTCATTCCAAATATTGGGATTAACCTCTCACCTTCACTTTCCTAGTGACAGTTACCACCGCCCAAACCAAAGCTTATATACGCGACAATAAACGCACGTGATCGTACGACAAGAATTTGAGAAAGACCGGTGTTTATCCATCCTCCTACTCAGGTATTATTGAACTAAATAACACATAGGGAACAGAATGATGGCTGTAAACACCAACTGTATAAAAACCTCACCCCACCAGACAGCATCCAATCATAATGCCTAACGGGGAAATTCATGAGCCATGGGATCAGGTCCCACTGACAGAGTAGATCTACGAACTTGCCCTTGTAACCTGAAGGCCCTTGGTTCGAATCCCAGTGGGCGAGTGTGTCCTAACAAACAGTACAAAACTAGGACAAAAGAGTTGTCTAGTACTCATGATAAAACAGAAAAAAGAGTGTTAACATAGAGAAGTGTGACTGAAGAGACAATACTAAAAGAAAACATACGTATGAGTAATACTCACCTGCAAGGTTTACACCAACGATTTTGATGCTCCAAGCCAAAACGTGCACGACATTTTTTAGCACTACTTACATCTGTGGAATTCGCGGTACCGCCACCAGCACCAGTTAACAGGGATAGTCGGCTACTACTGCCACCACCACCACAACCGCCACGTTCATCCGTCGAGTCAGAATTACCGAAATCTCCGCCAGATTCTGAAGATAAATGGAATAATCCTGATTTATTAAATAATTTACCACTGTTTGAATGAGATTTGGATTGTCCTAGAACTGCTACTGCTGCTGCCGCGGCCGCAGCAGCTGCCAACTTGCGTTTCTTTTTACGTCTTGAATGAATTGCATAATTATCTCTTGCTGACCAACCTGGAAATAACTGTAAGGCGACAAAGGAAAAAAGAGAAGTGAAACGCCAAAATATAAAAAACAAGGGTGAAGTGAAGTAATGAAATAATAATAAACAGTAGGCAGCCAGTTTGTCTTACTCCCGTCTTCACTTCGAAGTATTCCGTGAGTTTTCCGTTGTGGATTACTTATATATATATATATATATATATATATATATATATACAAGGAGTGAATATACCATAAAGTCGATATCATTATCATTCATATTATTGGCGTTCCCAGTCAACCATATGACCTTCAACATACATCATTGAGTCGATGTTAATGTTGCGCTGAGTAGTGTGAATCTTCATTCTGATTACATTTCTTGTCTTCCCTATTCCATCCTGACTAGTTAACTTTGACACCGTCATGTGCAGTGGTTGAAACCATTATGCTAAGGTAAATAGGTGAAAGAGTCGATTTCCAATCGATTTCTCCCAGTGATTGCCATTGATGCATGTTGTTGTTTTTCATCACCCTTCCATATTAGTTTGTTTATTAGGTGTATCACACAGTCTGTGAAACAATATTATTATTTACTGGATGACAAAGTTTCGAACACAATTCATTATTGTTCATAATCATTTCATCAATTATGATCACACAACTTCAAAACTTACGTTTCATAGTTTTCTTTTTTCTCTCCTGTTTGTCGTCGTAGGCATAGTAGTATTTTCCAGATGTCTCAGTGGACAGTTGTTGAATCATTCCTATTAAACGTATTCTTTTTCAGTTGATTCGATAAACAAAGCCTCCTTTATCAATCTCTCCCTCCACCCTGTTGCATTAAATTTTAGAACTGTCATCTTATCCCGTCATTCTATTGTATGGTTGGTTGTCTGTAATTGCATGTAGTGAGTGGTATAGATGAACTATTCTCTAGATTTCCTATCTTATTCGAGTTAACTAATCTAGATTCCGCTAGGTTTTTATGCTCCTGTAGTCTGACTGACTGACCCTGTTCTACTATTTTGACCTATGTTTTTGACCTGACAATCATTCAAGCAGGATATTAGATAAACTAAATTGTTTTATTTAATTGGCTCCCCAGGATCCTTTAACCGACAAAGCTTGTTTCTAATTGAGTTTGTGGGTTTGAATGCCAGCCACTTGTATTCTTGCCTTGTTAGGAATTCTGCGTAAGGTTTCCAAGGTTCCTTCCTTGTATGGAATTGTTACTGATGATTAAGATTCCTTATAGTTGGTGTTGTCTTGCGCATGTTTGACATGCATGTCGTCATTAATATTACTATTATTATCATGATCACTATTTATTTTATTTTTACATTTCCCCACATACTTTCTGACTAATTTATCAGGGTAATTATTGAGTTTCAAGGCTTCTCTTATATGTCTCACTTCCTGTGTTAAATTTTCCCTGGTACTACTTAGTTTTTGTGCTCTGTCACTTAAATATTTCACCAATCCTATTTTTACTGACATAGGATGGGAGGATCGGAAGTCCAAATATCTGATTGAATGTGTGGGTTTCCTGTAAACACACTCGTGTGTTTAACTTCCCATCTTTATTCCTTTTTACGTTACAATCTAAAATTGGAAGCTCCCCTCCCGAACTTTCTAATTCATAAGTGAATTGAACTGCCTCCACCTTTGAGTTAATGTGTTCGAAAAATCTATGTATATCTTGTGTTCAAAGTACAGTGAATGTGTCATCTACATATCTCCACCATACTTTTGGGGTGGGGATGAACGTTTCAATCGCCATGTTTTCCCACCTATCCATGAATATATATGCTACAATCGGGGATATTGGCGATCCCATGGCAACTCCCTCAGTTTGTTTGTATATATTCCCTTGGAATAAAAAACTATAAAACTCAAATTTCGAAGTCGTGTGTGATTATCACTGATGATATGATTATGAACAATTAAAAATTTTATTGGAAACTTTGTCATCCAGTAAATAATACTGTTTCACAGACTGTTTGATACATCTAATAAACAAACTAATATGGAATTATTTACTACCACAGTGCCCAAGTTTTAGACATATATTAGTTTGTATGCGTGTTTTCGGTCCCAGTCAATAGATGTATCATCGCATGAATGCGCCTGGTAATAAGATCAAGGGTGGGTGAGTAGATTTCGGTCTCCCTCTAGAAATGCTCTCATGTGGTTATACGCACACTCATAGCCTCTTCCAGCTAAAGGTCCTATTCACTACCTTCAAATTTATGATGCTAACATCTGATTTGTCGATGTCAGCACCCTGGTGATAACTGACTGACTACAAGATTAAGTCGTCTGGAGTTTTACTATGATAAATCATAATCAATGCGGTCCATAGTAAGTCAGGTATGAGCACAAACACTCGCCGACAATATTGGCTGGCAGGCTGGCGGGAATTTCGTCCCGGTGACTCAGTGGTCAGTCAACCAACTAGTCTCATGGCCTGCAGGCCTAGGGTTCGACCCCCATTGGGTGTGTTCACTGATGCTTACTACTGAAGAGTCCCATACTAGGAAGGTGAAACACCTTCATAACGCAATTTGTCGTTTTCAGTTGATTTCAATTCATGATGTAACTTCGATAGCAACCCTTTTCCCGCCAAACCAATAATGTAAAGACAACGATAAAAACTGTCACAATCCATGGATATGCGAACGCACGACCGACCTTGAGTCGACCAATCAGAAAAAAGCGGTGGTGGTTTTCACATAAGCAATGACGTTTATTTACAACGGAAAATGATGATAAAACACACATAAAAACAGGATATTTTCCCCTGACGTGACTTAAAAATGTCTCTCAGATATAATGAGGAGTACCAGGTACAGTAAGTGAAACCACTTACTGTACATGTATTCATCCAGATGGATGAAGATGAGTTTTTTTGTAACTCACTACTTATCCAGTTTTTCAGTCTTCCCAGGAAGCCCTCCATTGATTTTGTATAGAGTTCTAGTAAACCGATCAATAACTACCTAACTAGCAAAATACAGATAATTAGATGGCTGAAGGCAATCGGCAGGAAGTCCAGCATGACCTAGGTTTCGTGCTAGTTGGCACTCACAAGTCAGCAAGGCGTGCATCTGCAACCTTGAAGGAACTTATGCCACTAGGTAGCTCGCCATCACGGTGCACATTGATTTGATGATATTAGGTGGCGCACTGTGATGGCAAGCTACCTAGAATGGTGGCCACATTGCGAACCTGACTGACAGAACTCAGTCTGCAACAAATAAAGAAAGGACTAGACACGTCACACTAGTTATTAGTGTCCAATAATCCCAAACCTCATTATTTATTATTATCATTGTTCCTCTGGATCCCCGAGTGGAACATATAGACCTACAAACAGCACGTCTCCATTTTGTTCATTTTCTCAGCGGTTCTCTTTAACTGGTCCCACCATGATTGCCTATAGTCTCTAATCTCCTCCTCCATGTCATGACTCTCGGACACACCAATCCCAAACACGTCTTCTTTTCCATTCCTTAACGTTCCCAGTGGAACATAGGGCTTCAAGCAAGAGACTAGGCTTCAAGTTTCGGTAGCAGTGGTATTTATTTTTACCGGATGAGATTGCTAATCTCATGGCCAACCCTCCCTCTTCACCGGTCTTATTACTAGCTTAGCAAGGTAAAGGATAAAGCAGTGTCGACTGCGCCATCGAACCCCAGACGAAATGCGTTGTCGGCCGGCATTCTACCGCTGTGGCACCGACGCACATCCCAACTGGCATGTGCTCAAGGTCACTGGTGTGCGTTACACACTTCCCTCTGATAACTTGACCACAATTTCAAATTCGCTAAGAACAAACCAAACCGAAATATAATTTTGAAATTCATTTACAATCATTTCATCAATATCAATTAATTTAAACACTGACAAAGTTATCCTCCTCATACTATTTATTTTCTCTATTTTCTATAGTTTGGTTTGTAAGGGTTAGTTATGTTTTTACGAGTTAACCACCGAATGATATCAGTTAGAGAACCATTGAAAACCAGGGAGTACTGGACAGCTGCTGTTTAATCCTAGTTCGGGAATCATCGGCAGTACGCACCCACTGGGATTCGAATCCGGGACCTTCCGGTTACAAGGCAAGCTCGTATACCATTCAGCCACTGGGACCCGATTCAATGGCCACCGCATGAATTCTAACTGCCGGTGATTCCCAAACTAGGATGAAACAGCAGCTGTTCAGTACTCCCTGGTTTTCAATGGTTCTCTAACTGATATCAATCCGTGATCAACTCGTAAAAACATAAATAACCCTTACAAACCAAACTATAGAAAATTAATCTGATGCTCGCTAGTGACTTGCTACATGATAGTGTTTCCTGGAGTTCTAGTAAGAAGTCGTGACCAGTGAGGTCCAATTAGATGTCAGGTGTGTGGATGGATGTCCCACCAACGACAATGGTTGGGGTCGCGCTAAATCACGAATTGGTAGGAGTTAGAATTCATGAGCCATTGAATCGGGTCCCAGTGGCTGATTGGTATTTTCTCTATTCTTCTTTTCATGATGCAGACAGACAGAGGAGGAGAAGGAGAAGGCGGAGGAGGAGGAGGCAGAGTAGGAAATTACCGACCCAACCAACCAACCACCCACCCCACTCATTTCATCCGACAACAACAACACACAGTAGTAGTCAAGTCAATCATGACAACAAAAAAAGAACACACACACACACACACAAATATAAAATAATAATAATATTAAGCAACACCTTCTTCTCTTACCTGATGATGAATTTCTTTTTCTTTTCTAGCCATTTCATAATATTTTGCTTGTTTTTCACGTGATAATTCATGCCATTTCTTACCAAGAATTTGATTAATTGCTGCAGATTCTTTCAGTGTACATTCTTCTTGTACTTTTGAACGCATATCTTTCATAAATAGCATAAATGCATTCAGTGGTTTTTTAATATGAACACGTTTCGTTGTTGTTGTGGATGAGTTGTTAGTATTATTATTCCCATTACTATTATTATTATTACTATTACTAGTGTTAGTAGTCGTTTTAACAGAAGTATTCATAGTAGCAGTAGTAGTGATAGTGGTAGACGACGTTGCCGTCGTCGTTATTGTGGATCGATGGTGATGAGGATGATGGTTATGCGGATGAGTAGGATCAACTTTGAGAGGGGCATTCGAAGAAGAAGTCTTATTGATTGTATTCATCATTACACTGGATTGATTACTACTATTGCTGCTAGCACCTCTTCCACCACGTGGAGTAGGGGTTGGAGTTGACGTTGAATAAATCTGACCGGCACTACCACTACTGTGTTGGTGTTCTGTCTATTCATCATCAACAGATTCATTCTACTACTACTACTGCCCTCTGTACCTAATTCTGGTGAAATTCTTTGCAAGTTATAATTAAATCTTGAATTAATCATCATAGGACAATAATCAGTTGACGATGGTGGCAGTAGGATTGAAGACGGCAGAGGCAGCGGTGGTGAAGCGATCATATTCGATGTGATCGGGGAACATGTATTATTAATATTATTATGATTGGCATGCTTTTTAATTACTGGATGATCGACAGATTTTCGAGATCTTTAGAACAGAAAGAAGAAGAAGAAAAAGAAGAGTTATAAAATACATATAAAAGATTAAAACAATTAGTCCCTTTGATAAATTTGAATAAGGCATTAAGAAGACAAATATCGCGAGATGACGGCATCATTTCGTAGTTTCTTTACAACCGCTTTACAACATGGTTAATAATAATAAAATAAAGACAGCTTCGGTACCAAAGAAAGCTATCTTTATTAACCTACCATTCAAGGGTGACCAGATTATGCAGTTGACAGCTAGTTCAAAGACTTCGGTCAGCCATCAAACGCACATTCTACGCTGCATCTCTTTGTCTCACTTGCCAAACATTTTCGATCCCTGTACCTACGATTAAAGGACGAAATTCTGTGGACTCTACTTCAAACTGTATCTACAAGTTCACCTGCAGTTGTTGCGGTGACACCTATATAGGTAGAACCAACAGAATGTTCCAATGTGGTCGTCGAAAAGAACATGTTCCAAAATGGCTACTAAATCATATAGAAAATCCCAATGCCAGTAATCTGAATAGAAATCCAGCATCATCCATTGCTAAACACTTATTGATGTCAGGTCACAAAATCAATATTAATGACTTTCACAATTATTTCACATTACTCTATTTCAAGGTTATTGAAGGTGATGGAAGCACTTTGGGGGATTAATCACATACAACCTAAACTGTGTGTACAAAAATCAACAGACTTCAATCTTCGCCTACCCTGGACTACTTGACCAATCTAAATATGATTGGTCATTAGTATGTACTTTTGTTTTTATTTAACTGAGTAATTGTCATGAACTTTATTTTATTATTGTTAACCATGTTAGTTGTAAAGCGGTTGTAAAGAAACTACGAAATGATGTCATCATCTCGCGAAAATTGTCTTCTTAATGCCTTATTCAAACATATAAAAGAATTTCCTTCAAGTTTGGGACTCATCGTCAGTATGTGCAGAAATTGGGAGAAACAAACGAGGGAAAATCAAGCAGGCTTTAGGCCAGGTAGAGGGTGCATGCATCATACTTTCACTATCCGACAGATCCTAGAACATAGACACACTTTTAGGCGTCCAACAATTGCCATATTTCTTGACTTGAAGGCGGCCTTCGACTACTCCGTGGACCGAAAGGCACTATGGCAATGTTTGACTGTTGAGGGAGTGCCAAGAAGGTGCATTGCACTAATTAAGGCACTCCACTGAAAAACTCATGTAGCCGTGTAAGGGCTTATGGGGAATTGTCATCTGAATTCATTGATAACAATCAATGGTGTCCTTCAGGGATGTCCACTTTCCCCATTTCTGTTTAACTTCATCATACATATGCTAATGGAAGTATCCTTAAGTGAACTTAACGACTTAGGGATCGATTTGTTACCAGGGAATAGTCTTATGGACTTAGAATATGCAGATGACATAGTCCTGTTAGGGGAGGATGCTGACAAAATGCAGAGTTTTCTGAACACCTTGAGCAGCAATCTTCGTACGTTTGGCATGCGATTCGCCCCTGTGAAATGTAAGATGCTGCTACAGGACTGGATTACGTCAACTCCCAGCTTAGTGATAGAACATGTTGACCACTTCACCTATTTGGGAAGTTGTATCAGCACCAACGGATTGATTGGTGACGAAATCTCAGCACGGATCCAAAAATCTCGGGCTGCTTTCGCTAACTTACACCGTCTCTGGCGTAGGCGTGACATCCGGCTATCAACCAAGGGACGTGTGTACTGCTCAGCAGTTCGCTCCGTCCTTCTCTATGGCTCTGAAACATGGCCAATACGAGTTGAAGACATGAAAAGGTTGACTGTTTTTGATCATAGATGTCTACGATCTCTTTCTCACGTTAGGTGGTGGTATAATGAGATAAGTAATGTTGACGTTAGGAGTAGAATGTTGGGCAAAGAGGGAAAATCAATCGACGAGGCTATAAAGTTACATAGATTGAGATGGCTAGGTCACGTGCTGCGCATGCCTAACCATCGCCTCCCACGACGGACGGGCATTACTAGCTGATATAGGTGCAGGTTGGAAAAGAGTAAGTGGTGGCCAAACAAAAACATCGCATCAATCAATCCATGAAATCCTTAACAGTTAAACAGAGTCAGGTAGGGAGGGAGATGCAGACTTCCGGGTTGGGGCCCTCGGGACTCTAAGAATCAATGGCTGGAGACACTAGGTGACATGGCTCAAAATCGTTGTCAATGGCTTACGCAGATGTATTCAGTCTCTGTAATCTTTCATATTCCTTTCTACTATTACTCATTCTGTTTCACTCAAAACTCTATTGATTCTCTTCACTCTCATCTTCTTGTCTACCTTTGTGTGCTATTTGGAATGTGGCAACTCGAAGTGCTGCACTTCGGTGCCAAGTTCTATGTTGAATTCAGACAGACAGACATGCACGCATCACGAGAGTTTCGAACCCAGGACCTTCAGGTTACAATGCAAGCTTGTAGACCGTCCAACCACTGGGATCTGATTCAATGGCTACTGAATGAATTCAGACTTCTAGTAATTTGTGATTTTAGTGTGTGTGACCACTAGCCAATGTTATCCATGGCGAGTATTTGTCCTCCCACCCAAACCGGGTGGATCCTAACGCTGTGGCCACGACTACTCATCATTAGAACTCCAGGCAACTTTGATATCCTGTAGTCAAGTCACTCGCAAGCATCCGATTAGTTTTCATGAGTCTGATTTTAGGAATTTGGTAAGTTTCAGATTTGGTCAGGGATTGAAAACTAACAAGGGAGTACTGAAAAGCTGTTTCGTCAGCCTCTAGTTTGGGAATTATCGGCAGTGCACATCGACACCGTGAGGTTCAAAATTAAAACCTTCAGATTATGAGGCCAAACCCGTTGACAATTCACCCATTCACACCGGAATCCAATGGCTAATGAATTCTAATTGACATCAATCCGCGATCAAAACTGAAACAAATCCAATTTCGTAATGGAACTTCTCTTGAAAACTAATCTGCGAGCTTCAATTGTAGCCGGACGATTCTGGGTTGGAAACCCAGGTGACGTATGGTGGGTACTGCAGATGAATACCGAACTGTGGGGATTAAACAGCTGTCCAATACTCGCTGGTGGTTTTCAAATGGTTTCTCTAACTGATATCGATCCGTAGTCAAATTTGAAACAAAACAAAGCCTTACAAAGGAAGTATGGAAAATAAAAGAATTTAACACTGACGTTTTTTCCCCTTTAAGTTCCCAGTGGAATATAGGGCTTCAAGCTAGAGGCCTAGAGTTTCAGTAGCAGTGGTGCTTATTATTTTTACGGGATGGGGTTGCTAGCCTCATGCCCAACCTTCCCTCACTACCAGTTTTATTACTGGCTTAGCGAAATAAAGGAGTGCCTCGTCAGCCGGGGGTCGGACCCCGGACCACCAGCGCAGTTGGCAAGCATTCTACCGCTGTGCCACCGACGCACAACACTGACATAGAAATAATATAAAACAAGGATGCACACGTTACCAAACGTATCTGTTTAAGCAGGCACAATTCCCCAGGCATTGAGGGAAAATCCCCTTCACGATGGCTCTATATATCGAGAAGTGCCAGAAGTTAAAACTGATGGGTAGGTGGTGATTAGATCCTGTCTCAATGACTGACTGGTCGACTGGCTCGAACCGGGTATGCAGTGCTTACTGATGGAATGTACCAAAAGTAAGACGAAATAGCTTTCTAGTATACACTCTGCTGGTTTTCAATGATTCTCTAATTCATATCACTCCGTAATCATGCCTAAAATCAATAATAGAGCCCTAGAAACTAAACTTGAAAAACAAACCTGATGCTCACTCTAGTGACTGGCTGCAGTATGAGTTCCAGTGAGATGTCATGACCAGTAGGTTCTATGAGGTCGAGGATGAGGACAGATAGTCATACACAACACTAGATTTCCTTCCAGTGGCTGAATCGACAACGAGTTCCTCTCGTACCCAGGAGGTTTTAGGTCCGATTTTCCGCAGAGCCAGGAGGCTAGGATGAAAGAGCATTTCAGTGCTACCAGTTCCTCAGTACTTCTGCTAAGTGAAGACATAAAAAGATTAGCTGTCTTCGATCATAGGTGTCTGCGTTCTATCTCCCGCGTGAAGTGGTATAATAAGGTGAGCAATATTGAGGTTAGGCGTCGAGTGCAAGGTAAGGAGGGGAAATCAATAAACGAGACTGTGAAATTACATCGGCTGAGATGGTTATGACTTGTGTTACGCATCCCTGCCTAGTCATCGCCTTCCTCGACTGATGAGCAATGTTAGCTGATATAGGGTCAGGCTGGAAAAGAGCTAGTAGTGGTCAAACCAAAACATGACACCAGTCAATGAAATCTACAAAAGTTAGTCTAAGCCAGTCACGTAGGAAGGTGTAGACTTCCTGACTGACTGGTTGGGGTCCTCGGGATGGTAAAAACCAATGGTTGGAAACAATTGGTGATATGACTCAAAATCGTTCTCAATGGCTCAGATGCATCCACTCCTTGTGACTTATGATTTCCAATGAAACTTTTGTTCTTCATTATTACTACTCCTTTGTCTCACACCTCTGTTTACTGTCTATATTATGCATTTCTCCTACTTTCTTCTCTTCCTTTGTGTGCTACATGAAGGGAGTGTGGCGACTTGAACTGCCGCGCATATGTGCAAAGTTCTATGTTGAAAACCGACCGACCGACAAAATCAAAGGATATCAAACTCCAAACAGACTATCAAGTGAAACCTGAATGAGAGGCATATGGCCAAGTTGGGCTTCACTTTACAAGTGACATATGAGATCAATATGCGGCGGGCAGTCAGAACACAAAGGACAAGCAATCTGGTTTATCTCTTTTTACATGTATACCAGTGTATCTGGTTGCTAGTCTTATTTGATACTTCGTTTGTTATGCATCTCCATAATTTGAATAATTTTGTCTTAATCCTCTTTCTCTGTCTCTCTCTAGTCTTGTCTTGTACTTCAGACGAATATGAACCGTGGTTACATTAGAAACAATTGTCTCTATCTTCCTCCATTCTATGTAACGTTTCAATTATCTCTAGTACAAAAAAAATGTATATTCAATTTATTTAAACATTTTTTGTTGTATATATGAATTTATATATATATATATATATATATATATATATATATATATATTATTAATGTATGCATGACACGGATATATGACAATAAATCAATTGTAGGCCTTCTTATACTTGTATACACTCACTCAACCAATCAAACTCCAACCTGTGCGACGCACACACACTACATACCGCCATTAATACATACACACAAGCACCTAAACGCTTGAACATGATTGGCTGAATTGTATATTTATGCATCTTTGTATATATATATATATCCTCTATTGTATAAAAGTAGAGTATAAATACACATACTTGCAGCACACACAAAGCACATGCATACATACATAAATACATGCACAACGCAAGTAATGCATATATTCAGACATTCATACACATACACACAGAGGCGAGCACATGATTGTATGCATTTAAAAAAAGTGGAAACGCTTAACAAGTATGATGAATAGAGCGCGCTATTGAAGAAGTGAATATTAGTAATACTATTAATATTATTGCTAATATTAATAATAACAATCATATAAATCATGATACTGAGTGAATGTAAACAGAGATTATGAATTAACTAGGTAGTCAACTCAGTAAAAACAACAGCAACAAGCAAAAAAGGCGAAAAAGCCATTGGCGATAGGTGACACCAGATAACTATTTAGACTTATCAGGGAAAGCGGTGGCAAAATGCAAATGATAAGTAGTGAAACAATCTCTGAGAAAAATGGCACAAAAATTGGCTCTCAGGATAGACGATTGGGAATATTGGGAAGAACACTTTGAGAAGCAATTTAATTGGCCTACAGCCACCCTCAACTTACATAGCATCCAACACCCCCCTGAATGGGATATGCATACTGGACCTCCGTCCCTAACTGAGGTTACAAAATCTGTCACTAGTCTTGAAACGAGGCAAAGCTGTAGGACCTGATGGAATCACTCTAAAGATGTTTAACGACGGGGTAGAAAGTTTACTGTCTGCGTTAACTAAGGTATTAGGCAGCGTCTAAGAATCAGAGATAGTCCGGTCGGGCTGGCGTACGCCATTGATTATCCCCATATACAAGAAGGTAGACAAGTCTTCCTGTGATAATCAAAGCGAGATTAGCTTGATCAGTATGCTATGTAAAGTTCTAGGCTCAATAATCATGCGTAGACTAAGCGGTGCTCGGAAGGAACAAACACGAGAGAACCAGGCAGGCTTTAGACCAGGAAGAGGGTGTATTGATCATAACATCACTCTTCGACAGATTCCAGAACATAGGCGTAATTACCGGCATTCAACAATCATCATATTTGTTGACCTGAAAGCGGCATTCGATTCTGTCGATCGAGAGGTACTATGGCGATGCTTGGCTGTAAAAGGAATGCCGAGAAAATACATTGCACTGATCAAGGCACTCTCTACTCGAACTCATGCAGCCACAGGTGAGGGCTTACGGCGAGTTGTCATCTGAAGTGGTGACAACCAGCGGTGTCCATCAGAGATGTCCACTGTCTCCGTTTCTACTTAATTTCATAAATAGATGTACTAATAGACTTAACTCTGACTGACTTCAGCGACTCAGGGATTGACTCGTTACCAAGGTATCATCTCGTCGGCTTGGAATATGCAGATCATATAGTCCTACCGCCTACATGAAGACGCTGACAAAATGCAGAGTCTTCTGAAAACCTTGAGCAACAACTTTCGAATTTTTGGCAGGCGATTCGCACCAGCTGTCAAATGTAAGATGATGCTAAAGGACTGGACTACATTGACTCCTAGCTTCGAGATAGGCGGAAGTGAAGTGGCAGAGCGTGCTGACCACTTCACTTATTCAGGAAGTTGTATCAGCCAGCATCAACGGGTTGATCACTGACGAAATCTCACCACGGATACAGAAGGCGAGTTTAGCATATGCCCGCCAACTTACACCATCTATGGCTTAGTAGACGTTATATCCTGCTGGTTATCGACCGAGGACGTGTGAACTGCTTAGCAGTTCTCTCAGTCCTCATTTATGACTGGCAGTCAGACATGGTCATTGAAAGTGGAAGACATGCAAAGACTATCTGTGTTTGAGCACAAGTGTATATATCCTATTAACCTTGGTTAGGCGATATAATAGGATGAGGAATATAGAGGTTAGGTGTCGAGTGTGTTAGGTAAGGAGGGCAAATCAATCGACGAGGTTGTAAAGTTATACTGATTAAGATGGTTAGGATGTGTGTTACGCCTAACCATTGCCTTCCTCGACGACGGGCAATGTTACCTGACATAGGATGGATCAGGTTGGGAAAGAGCTAGCCAGTGGTGGTCAAACCAATGCATGGCTCCATCAATCAATGAAATCCACAACAGTTAGTTTCAGCCAGCCAGTCATGTAGGGAGATGTAGACTCCCTGACTGGTTAGGGTGGTCCTTGGGATGGCAAGAACCAATGAAGACTGGAGACTATTGGTGATATGGCTCAAAATCGTTCTTCGTGATGGCTGGCGCAGATGCACTTACTCCTTGTGATTTATAATATGCAATAAAATTCTATTGTTTCTCCATATTACTATTCTTTTTCCACCCCTCACACTTCTATCTATTATCTCTCTTTACTCTCTTCTTTTTCTTTGTGTGCTTCATGGAGGGAGTGTTGCAACTCGAACGTACTGCACATGTCTGCAAAGTTTTACGCTGAAACCAGTCCATTCAGGCAGTGAGATAAGGCTGAGCGTAAGACCAACCAGTGACCCACTCTATAAAAACATCACCACCCACCCTACTGGAAACTTGAAGCTTTATGTCCCACTCACTACACGAATTGATGAAAGGAGGAGGTTTTGAAGAGTTATTCAAACCTAAATGAGAGAGAGAGGTTATGCATAACAAGGACGCCACACTCCTAATAACAGGATTAATACTCAAGTACTTGTTTGCAAACATCGAGTGTTTATATTACTATTCTCATGAATTCCGAGTGGAAAATGGCTTCATTTCACTGTGTGTGTTCCCTGTGGTCTTTATTAGCTAGCCCCCACCATTACTCCTTACTCGTCTCACACGACCTCCTCCATGATCTCCTCTCTACGAACTCCAATTCTTCGTTTTCCTAATCAAGTTCTATGCGAGCCCATCACCGAGAACGATTTTGAGCCATATCACCAATTGTCTCCAGCCTTCATTGGTTCTTACCATCACCACGAGGACCCCAACCAGAAAGTCTACACATCCCTACGTGACTGTTGTGGATTTCATTGACTGATGAAGCCATGTTTTAGTTTGACCACCACTGGCTATCTCTTTTCCAACCTGACCCTATGTCAGCTAACACCGCCCGTCCGTCGACGAAGGCGATGGCTAGGCAGAGATGCGTAACATATGTCCTAACCAACTCAGTCGATGTAGCTTCACAGCCTCGTCTATTGATTTCCCCTCCCTACCTAGCACTCAACGGACGCCTAACCATAATATTCCTCAACCTATTATGCCACCACTTGACACTGGAGACAGAACGCAGGCAACCTATGATCAAAGATAGTTGGTCTTTTGATGTCTACCTCTTTCAATGGCCACGAAAAGTCACTCATAAATTGATAGATATACTAACCACCAAAGAAATATACACACAACGCTACACACACGCACACACACACACTTGCATACATACGTCAACACAATGGAGAAAACAATTTAATAACTTACAGAGTATGCGGTGAACATATATCACTAGATAAACCACCACCACCACCACCGATAGGTTTAAACGGTTTATTATAATGCATAGAGATGCCAATATCATCTTCATCAAGTAGCTGTGTTGTATGCGGCGGTAACAGAAGTTTTGAATGTGGAGCAGAGAAGGTAAATGGTTCTTGGAGAGAAGTTATAGTATTACTACTACTACTGCTAGTTGGCACTGATGGTGTTTGTATATCCAAGTGAGAAGAAATGGAATGCTGTAGATGATTACTTGATTCAACAGATCCATTCAGAGATAGTATTGGCGATAGACTATTCGGTAGAGAAGACGACCGAGGAGATGCAGCAGATGAATGTGCAGCTGCAGCAACAGCCAGACTTGACAAGAAGTGAACATGAGCTGCTGCAGCGGCTGCCGCTGCCGCCGCGGCACGTTGAGAACAGTCGGTAAATAAACTAAAACCAAAGAAAAATAGAATTATTGAAATGGTAGGAGACAAACGACTGTGTAAAAGGAATATTTATTAGGAAATTGGTTTCTCTATAAGGCTAAATTATGTACACCTTATCTTCAACGCACTATCTGCACAGATCTTCGTGTATTGGTACTTCTGGGTTTCATGTTGTGTTTCTGTATGTTCTTTTCACATCTTCCATGTTTCTCCCTGCTATTTACTGTTTTTATGCCGATGAACGTCTCTTTGTATTATTATTATTATTATTGTTCCCTTGGGTTCCTAGTGGAACATAGGGCTTCAACTGCACGTCTCCACTTGCTTCTGTCTTCTGCTGTACTTTTTACCTGCATCCATGTTAGTCTATTCTGTTTCAACTCTTCTTCATACGATGTACGTCGGTGGCACATTGGTTAGGACTCTTGCCGACCATGCACATGGTCCGGGGTTCGATCCCCTGCCGACGTACACCCGATATCTATGGTCGGCCTGCAAAATTTGGGCTACTGATATCCATGCTGAGAATTCCATACGTGTACTGAAAATACGGTGTAGCATCAAGCTGTAATAAAAAAATCTCCTCCATGTCACCCTAGGACGTCCCACTCGCCGCATCCCTTTCGATTTCCCCTCGAGAGCCTGACGCGCGATGTCACCCAGCGGCCTCCTCAGAGAGTGTCCAATCCATCTCCACTTTCTCCTGCATATTTTTTGGGTTCTTGTTTTGTTTCTTCCCATAGTTCCTTGTCGGTGATTCTTTCCGGCCAGCTGATCTTCAGTATAGAGCGAAGACATTTGTTGATAAAGGTCTGCAACCTGTTGGAAATATATTCTTTGCGACCCGCCAAGTTTCTGATCCGTATACAACAACTGACTGACTTGACGTGTGTATTGAAAATCCGAATTTTGTTGTTGATGCTGAGTGACGAAGATTTTCAGAATGATTTCAGGTTGATGAATGTGTTTCTTGCCTTCCCGATTCTCGATTTGACATCCTTGTCCGTTCCTCCTGTAGTTGAGACAATGCTCCCTAGATAAGTGAATGAAGTAACCTCTTTCAAATTCCTCCCGTTGATGGTGATTGGCGCTGGATGTTGCTGCTGCTGTTGTTGTTGGTTGGTTATTTTCATAACCTCTGTCTCTTTATATACTACTGATAAATCTTATCGTTAGTAGCACTCGTCACATTATTAGTCGGATAGGGAAATAAAAGAAGCTCAAAAACATAGATGTATAGCACTCGATATAGGCCGTAGTCATCTGATTGGCTATGATATCAGCAGACTTAAATCTACCAATCAGAGTGTAACGACCACGGCCTCTGATTGGTCAATATCAATGTGTTGACATTCGGGCAGATTCGATTCGATTGTGGTTAAGCAGGGATTTGAATTAGTTGATTAAATTGGTAGATATCATCTCTCAAGCCGACAGCATTTAGAGGAGATCACTGGACACCAAGGGGAACTTGACAACCAGCTTTTTCGTTGTTTCGCAGTCTGCAAGACCCTTCAGTAGTACACACTTATGAACCCACTGGCCAGGAATCGAACCCGGAACTTGTGGGTTATGAGACTAAGCTCACTGTCCACTTAGTGGCCACTGAAGCCGGAATTCAATGACTTGCGAGTTTTAACTTTCGTCAACTCGTGACAGATAGTGGTACTCTTAACCAGTAATGTCTGAGCTATGGATAGTTTATTGGCGCAAAGCTTTCCACATTGTCATTTTAGACGACTCCTTTACAATGAACTTCACGAAAGAAGTGAACTTGTAGGATTCTCCATGACATTATTATAACTGTCTCTCCTGGTAACTTGTATCCAGAAACTTTACATCCTATTGCTATCCCAACAGTATCGGAATTGATTATTTTGTTCACCTGAAAGTCGACCTTTCGTGGATGTGACTTCCTTTTCAGTGATCGATAAATCTCATCTATGTCAGTATATTTGTGTCGGCGATGATATTATCTAGCAGTCGGTCGCGGTATATCGTGATATGGTAGAAGTTGGAATTCATTTGCTATTGGATCAGGTCTCAGTAGCTAAAAATGGTCGACAAACTCGCCTTGTAACCAGAAGGCCGAGGGTTCGAGCCTCTGAGGGTACCAAACTAAACTGACAAAACAGCTGTCCAGTGCTCTCTAGTGGTTTTCCAATTTCAACTCATTATGAAATCCTGTAACCAATCAAATCCTTGCTACAAAGCAACACTTGATTGTAGATTCATCATCTGGGTACGAGATTTCTATAGAATCTCTAACATTCTTGGTGTAGCTGTCTGTACACACTGACTGATATAGAGAAACGCATATCATGCCTTTATGACTTAGACAAATCTTCAGTCAACAGACAAACAGCTATAGATCAATATAGCGAAAATATTCATTTAAACATATCTATAAAACACAAAATAATTGAGCAAAGAAAGATATCCTTTTCGATAAATTCCTCTTCTGGCTCTACAATTATATACGTATATGTTTATATACATAGAATATTCTAGAATAGTAGTCAATAACAATATTAGTGGTTTTTAAATAATATCGATTTGTAAAGTAAGATCACGATGGAATTACAGTTCATTAAAGATGCTTAAATTATAATAAAAATTATAATAATAATAAAGATATAATAGCAAGTAGAATATCAAATAAAATTACGGAAAGTTTTACAATAACAAATTAAGAATCATTAACACCTTGATTAATGACCAAGGTAAGGAAAGTGGTCTAAACCAACCAACTTCTTTTGGATGCACAAATTAGGCTTGTTAATATGGATCCCAACAGCTTCAGCAATGTTTAGTAGTCGAACTCTTAAGGCAAAATTGAGATTTGTTGGTATGTGGTAAATGACTTTGAAAGCATGGTTAACGTCAATCTTGTGTTCTGTATCCACAAGATGAATGAGATAGAATAGCACTGTGGATAGATTTTGTTTGTCCTGCACTTAACCAACCAACCAGGCAGGATGGTTTTTGGAAATCCGACGAGAAACACGCCTAATTGTACGGCCTATGCAGCTAACTGGTTCCACAGGAGCAGTTAAATTGCTAGATACACATGGAAGAGGCGAAATTAGGCAGTTTCTCTTTAACTCCCGAACGCGAAAGAGGAGTGGTTTTGAAAACGGCATAATTCGACAGCAGCAGGGAATGCTCTTTTTACCGCATTTCTAAGGCGCTGTGTTAGTATCTCGCTAATGTTCTCTCCGAGGATCTGCATTTGTAAGAACAAGGCCTTTTTTGGAACTGCTGGTAAATTGGGCTGCTTTAATTTTAGATTCATATTCTTATCAATAAACTTTTCTGGATAACCAGTTTCACTGCCTAATTTCGCCTCTTTCACGTGTATTTACCGATTCAACTGCTCCTGTGAAGCCAGTTACATAAGCCATACAGTCGGGCTTGTTTCTCGTCGGATTTCTGAACACCATGCTGCCTTGTTGGCTAAGTACAGGACAAACAAAAACTATTTGCAGTGGTTTTCTATCTCATCTTGTGGATACATAACACAAGATTGGTGTTAACCAACCTTTCAGGGTCATTAAGCGCATGCCAACGAATTTCAATTTCGCCTTAAGAGTTCGACTACTAAATATTGCTGAGGCTGGCTGGCTGTTGGGATCCATATTAACAAGCCTAATTTATGCATCCAAAAGAAGTTAGTTCAGACATTATCCTTACCCCATTGGCCATCTAGGTTTGAATGATCCTGAAATTTTGTGGAATTTTCCTAATTTTAGTTGATATTCTATTTGCTACTATATTTTCATTATTATTATTATAATTTAAGCATCTTTAATGAACTGTAATTCCACTGATCTTACTTTACAAATCGATATTATTTTAAAAAACGCTAATATTGTTATTAACTACTATTCTAGAATATTCTATGCATATGAACATAGTATGATATTCTTTGCTCAATTATTTTGTGTTTCATAGCTATAGATCAGATTTATTTAGCAATGTCAAAAATAGTCAAAGTCGACGATGAAGATATCGTTTAGAACGACAATGAAAGCGTCACGAACAAGGTATTCAGCTCAAAGAGAGAAAAAACAAAACTACCTCCATATTATCCACGTGAGCTATACATCACCATATTATTATAGTATTATTATTATTGTATATAAAAACGCAAACTTGGCCACATTATGGACACGAAGAGCTAAGTCACACGGAATCATACACACATTATTTGTTCGAAGACTGAGATACCACCTACCACCACCATCTACTGCCTAGACTGAAACAAGTGGTTGTCTTCAGCTTAAGGAGCCACTTCGACCCCCCCCCCCGAACCTTTGACTTGAAGTCTGATCATGATAAATGGCAGTGGAGCAGCGTCAGAAGCTACATTCTCATGCCATTCGATCTCCTACCTAGATAGACACTTATCTGCATATTCATCAGTCCGGTTGTAAGCGGATTCGCCCCTTCACTTTTATGTGAGGAACCCGAACCGAGTGAAGAAGGCAGTGACTCTAATCTCGCACAGACGATGTTATATGAAAGCAAATCTCCAATGAGAGGATTTCAAGAGAAGGCGAGACTGAATGAAGTCTACAAACACCCACCCATCCATCCATTCTCCACATATCATCAAATATACCGTTTTTTATATTCATCAAATCAAGCTTGCTTACCCAGAATTCTGTTGACTTCCACTACTGTCAGGACTTGATTTCACCGAGGTCTCCATCCATGATGATGATGATGTTGGTGTTGGAAAAGTCAATCGACTTTGACAACCACCACCACCACCATACGGTAAGCCAATGTCACCGAAAGAATTCAATGGGATAGTTGACAGAGGATTCGAAAGCGGTTTATCCGTCTCAATGTTAGGCAGTTCTAAAAAGTGTTTATTATTCATCGAAGCATCAATTTTATAATTCATTTGTTGATAGGAATCAGCTGATATGTTGAAATGATTTAAAGATGGGATAAGTGAAGGCGACGGTGCAGAAGTCGTAGAATTACATGACGGTAACCCTGTTGACGATGGATGTATCATACTACTGTTTAAAGTGTTATTATTACTATTAGTATTAGTATTAGTGGAGTTGTGCATGTGATGAATAAGCTCAGAAGTATTCAGCGGTCGTTGTACTTGACATTGAGATAGATTATCGTGAATAAGGGAATGACATGTACTCTGGTTTGGATAATATCGTTGATTTGAATTCCCACTTTTGTATAAATCTAAAAATCAATAGAAAAAAAAGATTTCAAAAATTAGACTGGCTGTGATAGTGAGATGGCAGAAGAGAACGGATTATATTTATTGAAGAAAAACGCAGCATATCTTTTTTTTTATACATTTTTAACCACATTACAAGTTGGCTAGGTCAGCGGATAATAAAACTGTTCTGATTGGTTCAAAGTTAAACAATAGGACGAAAGATTGTCCAATGAAATTATTTCATAACCACAACGTAAAGTAAATCCAGATTTGAGGAATGAATATTTCGATTGGACACACCAACTAGTGTCGTTTGACTAGTCCTGACTCAATTCTACCAGTCAAGTTAACAATATGGTCACCATCATCCTAGGTGATTCTCCATTACGGTGCGCCTTGAATTGTTGGTGTTGTTCGATGGTTGGAGGCAATCGGCAGGAAGCCTTCCTCGACCTAGGTTTCATGCTTGTTGCCTCTCTCTCACCAGTCAGTCAGTAAGGCGTGTGCATCTGCAATTTTGAAGGAACTCATGTCACCCAGTGAGTGCTGCAGTCAGAGACGTTACCACTAGATACAAGACGCCAGTTATTGTCCAATCAAAGTACCTGGATACAGTCCTACAGGAGGTCGACAGCGAGCCCTGACAGCTCAGTGGTAACCTCTCTAACTGCAGTACTCACTGCGTGACATGGGTTAGAATCTCAGAAGGGATATGAGTTCCTTCAAGGTTGCAGATGCGCACGCCTAGGTCCAAGGTTTCTTGCCGATTGCCTTCAACCATCTAATTACAAGAATACTTAGAATGTTTAACTTCAATTTCTGACCGCTTTCTATCAGTCTGCATCTATATGTGTAACACACACCACGATATCAGTTGAAGAACCATTGCAAATCAGCAGGGAGTACTGGACAGCTGTTTTGGTCCTAGTTTGGCATCGAACCCAAGATCTTCAGGTTACGACGAGGCAGGCTTTGTTTCACCATTCGGTCACTGGGAGGGGATCTAATTCTAACTTAAATCAGTGCCATACCCCAGTCAATGTCATCAGTCAGCATTTGTTCCCACAGACGAACCTGGTGGACCCAGCACTGGTCACACCACTTCTCCAACTAGAGAGTTCCAAACAAATCCATCCTGTATAATCAGTCAGTCACTAGTGAACACTACCCAGATTAATCTTTGAAATATTAGCGCTTTAAGGGATTTTAATTGGTCCCAATTTAGATTACGATCAGTATAAATTAGAGGAAGTCAGAAAAAACAAACCAACAGGGAATGCTACTGGACAGCTGTTTCATGTCCTAACTGTAATCAACTCATGATCCAACTTGTAACCAATCAAATCCCTAATAGACTGAATATTGAAAAGTACTCAGATGTAAAAGGCAGCTTTAATAAAACACTGGACAGAGGATGATTTATATGAAAGAGAATTAACTAGTGCAATTCATTACTATTGTATTATATTATATTATATTATGTAGAAAAAGGGTGGCTATGCCATTATTGATTAGAGATAGAATAGAAATAGATTAGGCAGAATTCATGACAGATCACAGATCAAAAAAGTGACAAACAAAAAACAAGCAAACAAACAACGAAACTATGACAGCGGAAATGAAAGGAGCATATTATTATTATTATTATTATGAATACTATTGTCATTATTGACCGGTTTATACACTCAAAAATAAGTTGAATAGAATAATGTGACGAGAGCAACTTTAGTACGATAAGATGAATACAATAAACATATATTTTATAGGATATTTTTGTCAGAGGTACACAACCGGAATAATTATAGAGTAGTGGTCACTATGATATAATTTATCATATTATTATTATTAATATTTCCTTGGGTTCCGAGTGGTGCATAGCGAAAGCTTCAGCAGCACACCACCATTTCACTTTAACTCCATGACTGCCAGCCAATAAGTCTTTAATTTCCTCTTCTATGTCCCCTCCTCCCCCCCCCCACGCTAAGACGCCCAACTTGTCGTCTTCCAATAGGGACGCCAATCGAGGGCCAACTCGATGGCATGTGATGTCAGTTGGACGTCTTCTCAGCCTGTGTCCATATTATCTTCATTTCTGGTGCCTATTATTATTAGCATTACCATTATTGGACAATCGATTCTCGACTGGTTGGTTTCCTGACTGCCAGAATTCTTCGTTGCTTATTCTTGCTGGTCGATTATTTGGTGGTCATCATTTGCACATATCTTCCGTGTTGTGTTACTTTGTCTTCTTTTCGTGTCTTCTATGTTTTACCGGTGTATACTAGTTCATTTCCTTTCACACACACACACTCTCCCTTTGAAGTCAAATCTATCTCTTAGTTATTTGATATTTGATCCATCGTATGTCAGTCAGCTGACATTGCCTGTCCGTCGAGGAAAACGACGGCTAAGCAGACATGTGTAACACATGTTCTAACCATCTCAGTCAGTGTAACTTCACAACTTCATCGATTGATTTCCCCCCTTCAAACTCACCTAGCACTCAACCGATGCCTAACCTCAATATTACTCGCCTTATTATGTCACCACCTGACACGGGAGATAGGACTCAGGCACCTATGATCGAAGACAGCTAGCTGGCCTTTTCATTTCTTCCACTTTGAATGGCCATGTCTCGCAGCCAGCCATAAAGGAGGACAATGAGAACTGCTGAGCAGTACAGTCGACAGTCAGCTGGATATCAGGTCTATGAAGCCAGAGATGGCGTAAGTTGGCGGGCATATACCAAACTCGCCTTCTGTATCCGTGTATCTGAGATTTCGTTAGCGATCAACCCGCTAGTATTGGCTGATGGAACTTCCACACACCCCTTAAATAAGTGAAGTGGCCAACACGCTCTACTACTTCATTCATTCCCCTCTGTCTTTCGAAGATTGATACTCCTCAAGGTGTTCAGAAGACTCAAAAGTCACTCAAAATGCCGATATTTGTTACTTTCGCCACAGCATCTTTGTTTACCACCAGTCAGTTATTACTTTTCAATAACCTGAGTAACACAATTCCTCACCTGGTCAACTTAATGTTCGTTTATCAGTTGGTCTGCTGCTCCTGTGGTCATTTGAAAACGATATAGTCCTGTGTGGTTAAGAACCGCTGGAAGTGGGAGGTATAATAAGCTGATGTGCTGGCCAATAAGTCGGGTACCACTAGTGGCTGAATAGTCTACGAGTTAGACTTGTGTAATAGGAAGGTGTTTGGTTCGAACTCCGTGTGGTGATGGGTGCGTACTGTTGCAAAGTCTCACTCAAACCAACACAAAGGAGAGAGCTGTCAAACACTGTCTAGTTTCCGAATAGTTCTCAATTTGTTACAAAAATAATCGCAAATAAAAGATAGTCCATAATACTAGCGATTTGATTAATAAATAACGCATCAACAAGGAGAGATATGAACTTACTCGCTGCTTTAATCAATTCTGAGTGAAATGCTGCAGCTGCAACAGCTGATGTAGACGAAGCTGATACCGATGGCAGTGATGTCAATGGTGAGGCTGATGCCGACGCCGACGACTGCTGCTGATGATGATGATGAGTAAAAGCGGCAGCAGCAGCCGCAGCTGCGGCAGCTACAGCTATCACTGAAGGCGACGACGACGATGACGACGAAGATGATTTTCCATGTGAAGCAGCTAAATTATCATAAACTGTAGTAAAATTGGATAGTGCAGCAGAAGAAGAACAAGCAGAAGTAGAAGAAGAAGCAGAGCATAAAGAAGATTTCGGTGTAGGAATTCTGAAAGGCACAGGTGATAGTGATAATGGGATACTTGGTTGTGGTTGTTGTTGTTGGTGTTGGGAGTGTAGTGACGGTGGTGGCGGCGGAGGTGGCCATTGAGGAGGGGATTGTAGTTTAGGACTAGATGAACCAGATGAGACAACTGCAGCAGCTACAGCGGCAGCTTGTAAAGCAGCACCGTAGAATGGTCCAGCCATAAAAGCACTCAAGGATGGTGTGAGTGCACCGAATGGAGGCAATATCGGTGAAACACAATTGCTCTGATGATTATCATTAAAGGACTGAAAATGATAGAAAGACGCGAACAATAAAATGTATTAAACATCACATCTGATTTCTGAATTGATTACAAATAAGACACAATAATGTATTACTCAGTATGGGCATGGTAAATACTAATGTAACGACAGAAGACAAGGGCCAGGCAACAGATCCTTCATTGGGGAAATCAAGAGATTTTTATGTGCATTATTATTAGCGTTATTGTCAGCAGAGAAACAGAGTCTTTTGATTAGTTGTTTTCTTGCTCAAGTTTATTTTGTACCGCTTGTGACCGTTTCTCAGAAAGTTAAGCCATATATCTGCGAATCGTATTTGCACACGTTAAGTTTGCTGAGATTGGTTGATGAGTTCCTCAAGGTTACTCTTTGTTGTTGTTGCTTTTTTCTCATGAACCTGATTCGGGACGTCTAACATTGACGTAAATTGCTGTCTACAATTTTTAGCGTGCAGCCAGCTCTCACCACACTACTACTCACTAAATGACGTAATGAGTAGTTGGATATCAATCACATCAAAACCACCGGTAGTGCTTACAAGACAGATCGATATCATCTAAACATCGGAAAGCTGTTTTACTCATTTGAAGCTGAATCCTTCGACGTACATACCCAAACTGACTCACCTCATGGCCAATACGAGTTGAAGACATGAAAAGGTTGACTGTTTTTGATCAGAGATGTCTACGATCTCTTTCTCACGTCAGGTGGTATAATAAGGTAAATAATGTTGACGTTAGGTGTAGAGTGTTGGGCAAAGAGGAAAAATCAATCGACAAGGCTATGAAGTTATATAGATTGAGATGGCTAGGTCACACGCTGCGCATGCCTAACCATCGCCACTAGTTACTAGTGGCCAATCAAAATACCCACTACAGTCCTACAGGAGGTCAATCGCGAGCCCGAATAGCTCAGTAGTAACGTCTCTGACTGCAGCAATCACTGGGTGACGCGGGTTCGAATCTCAGAAGGGACATGAGTTCCTTCAAGGTTGCAGATACGCCTTGCTGATGAGTGCCAACTAGCACGAAACCTAGGTCAGGCCGGGCTTCCTGCCGATTGCCTCCAACTATCTAATATTATTATACCACCCCACATAGCACGTAAACAGCTGTGGTATCTTTCGGTATCAATGGCTATGCCTCATGGTTATTAGGGAGGATAGGGTGAACACGCTGTTGAGTGCAGTACACAAGTCCTTTGATGGATGGATGGATATATCTGGATATTACCTTTGATTCATCCCTCAATTGGAAAGATAACACCGTTAAAGAAGAAAGAGATGGTTGAGACTTGTTTTTTGGTTGTTTTTTGGAGAATGAACACACACACACACGCACACACATTCACACAAACTCAGACAAACAAACGAACAAACGAAGAGAGAAGAAATGTTGCAGAGGTATTCTCTCAAGAATGTATAGTGGCTAGGTGTATATACTTATTAAATCAATAGATAAATTATATATATATATAAACTTGCAAGGTCATTCCGGTGCACAAAAGTAAACCACTTAATTTATTATTTTCCACACTATTAACAGGTATATGAACGACTTTTATTCAACCATATACACACAATTCTTCACAATTCAACGTTGAAAAGGAATCCGAACAAAGTATTCCCTTTCTTGATGTGTGTGCCTTAGTAGACGTAATGGCGGATCTCTCAAAAGATCTATCCACCGGAAATGTACATGGAACGGACAACGGGCTAGTGGCGTCCGTCAGGGATACCCATTATCCCCATTTATATTCAATTTCATCAGAGACGTACTAATGGATTTAACCCTAACTCACTTCAGCGACTCACGGATTGACTTGCCACCAGGGGATAATCTCGTTGACTTAGAATATGCAGGTGATATAGTTCTTCTAGGCGAGGACGCTGACAAAATTCAGAGTCTACTGAACACCTTGAGCAACAATCTTCGTATGTTTGGCATGCGATTCGCCCCTGTAAAATGTAAGATGATGTTACAGGACTAGACTACACTGACTCCTAGTTTAGAAATAGGAAGTGAAGTGGTAGAGCACATTGACCGCTTCACTTATTTAGGAAGTACCATCAGCCAACGCCAACGGGTTGATCTCTGACGAAATCTCAGTACGAATACAGAAGGCTCGCTTCGCATATTCCAGTTTACGCCGTCTCTGGCATAGTAGACGTGATATCCGGCTATCGACTGAAGGGCGGGTGTACTGCTCATCAGTCCGCTCCGTCCTCCTTTATGGCTAGCTGTGAGACCTGGCCATTGAGAGTGGAAGACATGAAAAGATTAGCTGTGTTCGATCATAGGTGCCTGCGTTCTATCTCCCGTGTGAAGTGGTATAATAAGGTGAGCAATATTGAGGTTAGGCGTCGAGTGCTAGGTAGGTGGGAGGGGAAATCAATCGACATGGCTGTGAAGCTACATCAACTGAGGTGGTCAGGACATGTATTATGTATGTCTGGTCATCGCCTTCCTTGACTGACGGGTTTTGTTAGCTGATATAGGGTCAGACTGGAAAAGACCTAACGGCGGTCAAACCAAAACATGGCACCAGTTAATGAAATCCACAATAGTTAGTCTAAGCCAGTCAGTCATGTAGGTAAGTGTAGACTTCCTGACTTACTGGTTGGGGTCCTCAGGACGGTAAAAAGCAATGAAGGCTGGAGACAATTGGTGATATGGCTCAAAATCGTTCTCGGTGATGGATGGCGCAGATGCGTCCACTTTTTGTGACTTATAATTTCCAATAAAACTATATTATTCTTCGATATGAATATTCTTTTTGCCTCATATCTCTGTTTACTGTCTCTATTTTGCATTTCGTTTTACTCACTTTCTTTGCTATATGTGCCACATGAAGGGAGTGTGGCACTTGAACTGCTGCACATAGGTGCAAAGTTCTATGCCGAAAACAGACAGACAGACTTGAAACAATGTTGGTTATCAAGATAAGTGAAGGAAGTGACGTCTTTCAGATTTCTTCCTTTCATAGTGGTTGGTTATCTGCCTCACCTCCATCTTCTCTGTGACCGCTTAAAGTCCTGTCTACTCGTTGATTGTTTCTTCCGCAAACACTTATTAGTTTTCGCCTGCAAATCTTCGAGTTAGACGTGAATCATCATCCATGAGTGAAATTCAGATCTTCCTAGTGTCTTCTTATAGGTGGTTCAATGTACTCCTGTCTTCCCATTAACAGCCGCTCCCCCCTCTCCGCCACCATTAGTCAATCCACCACAATTAAGTATATCATCAATGGCGGTAATGGTCAATAAGAATTATCAGGTTTCAGTTTTTAAAAAATGTGAAAATAACCGGTGAAAAATCAGCAAAACAGTTAATTAACACAAACGTTTAGCCAACAAAAAAAACAATTTTGAGGTGTAGGGTGGCGATAGGGTGGGAATAATTACAGAGGTTGGTTACAGACCAGCTAATTTGTCAACGTTAGTAACAAGTTGTTACATAATAATAATAATAATGACTAGGGGAAGAAGAAAAGATGAATGGGTTACGTAAGAATAATCACGACACAAATAAGCTAACTATGAATAAATTAGACAGCAGGATAGAAGGAAGAACATTGTATCTGGTCATGGTTAGGAAAGCAGCTGCGGACATTTTCTTTTCAAGTATCGGCTTTGTTGGGATTTTGTTTGTTTGATTGGCTGGGGGATTTCATCACGATGAGCTGACATCAGTTAGAGAACCATTGAAAAACCAACTGGGAGTTTGGGTCTCTTCATCAGTATGCACTCACACCGCGGGGTTCGAACCCAGGACCTTCTGGTTACAAGGCTAGCAAGCTTGTAGCCCGTTAAACCACTGGGACCCGATCCAATGGCGCCAGCCCATGAATTCTAGCTTGTGTCAATTCATAGCATAGCGCGACCACTTCACAATATCCTCTTTCTTCGATGATTTACTGCTCTCACTATCAACCTGCTATACCCTGCGATTATCTTGTAGAGGATGCAATATGTTGAGTGAAATACGATCATCAATTACTTTAAAAGCTCTACATAATATCAACGAGACAAGGTAGGGTCAAGCTAAGCTCTGCCTTTATTCAGATAGTGTACAAGCATTCAAGGATGAGCTTGTCTAGTCATAAGTCCAATGTAACTAGTTGCACAGATGTAGTTATGCTGCTGAATACACTTGGTGAAAGAGGCGAAATTAAATAGCTTATCGTTAAAAGAATTAGTTCGCCCTAATGAATTTAGACAAAGCAATAAGAAGACGTAATTTGTTTGTCTAAATCGTGTATTGTGTGTATTTGAGCAAACACATTTCGACTAATCTGATCACACTCCACGCACTTGTCATAGGAATATATATGAAATTAATATAAAGAGTTAAGAGGTGAGAGAATAGACTACCTAGGTCAAGTTAAATAGGACGTATTGAAGGTGAAAATAACAATGAAGATCGCTTAACCAAATAAGAGAGGTAGAGGTACATCTACCCTGCCTGGTATCAAAACAGACTTTACTAAGGTAGGTTTAGTGTGATGACGAATTGTTGCTTTGATTTCAAAAAGGTGGCTTAATTAACCTGATTGCTAGGTCTTCCACAAACTTTAGGATACCTTACCCACCCAACAAGGCTTATAGATAGATCTAAAAGAGGTGTGAAGACATCAATTTTATGTTCTTTCTCTATAATATGTTTAAAGAAAGAGAGTGGCTAGGTCACATGTTTTCACCATGGTTGGGTACTCGGGATTTTATTTGTTTCTGGAGCGATTTAGGAATACGTTCTGAAACCAGCCCTTACTTGCAGAGATCAATGAGTCCTGTATATATATATGTGTGTGTGTGTGGCTTACTATCACTTTGTGGTGGTGTGATATAGACAATGTGTGCCGACGGAATATTAGTCTCACATGTTCCCACAGTTCAATTCGGCACTAGCAACAGAATACAACATATACCTCTTTGATCATTCTATTTGGTGGTAGAGTCGGAATGTGTTTTCCCACAATTCAAGATTGCATTAACAAAAGAATAC